TAAAATCAACATGTACATAAAATCAACATGTGTACATAAAATCAATACTCTACATGGTGTTAAAAGCCAAAGAAAAGAGGTGGGTTTTAAGAAGAGTTTTAAAATGAGACAGAGAGGTTGCCTGTCTAATGTGCAGCGGCAATCCATTCCAGAGTTTTGGAGCTGCAACAGCTCCAAAACTCTATTCATTAGCCCTCCAGCTTTAAAGGGGCATAGTCATGTTATATAGTACACAAAATAGAGCAAAAACCATTTGATCATAATAAAATATTGTCACTTACACCAAATACGAGAGTTTTCAGATAGTCCTCTTTGAGCCTAAATAGAAACCCAACACCTCACATGAACAGACATTAACAGACGTGGCACCATCTGCTGGCAGTAGCTCTGAACTATCAGGACACAACTACAACATAGAGCCCAATAGATTTGCAATAGCTGTGTTAAAGATCGGCTCTGTGTTTACACCTTGAAGTTTTATCTTTTCGGTTCTTTTTTCCTGAAAAGAGATCACTAGAAACAAACTCTTTAAATAACACTTCATTACTTATATATATTAAATAACCTGGAAACATGACAACAGATTTTGATATAAATTGTCATCTTACTCAGATCAGAGAAGTTGCTTAGAGTTTACAGAAGGCAGCTGCTCAACTCTCAAGAAGTGGCCCCGATTAACAGTTAAAAAGGCATTTTATACATCTCCAGTCTGCCACATCATTACATTTTACATCATACACGTTAGCAGATGGATCATTCCCAAATATTTGCCTTATACAGAATGAAGATTATGACTGTATATCAGGACTGATACATGTGTATGGTCTTATTTAACTGGCTGTGAAATTATCGTACTGTTTCCACGCTGTGAACGTAACGCCTCACACCGTTCATGTTGCCCTGTGTTTCTTATCTAAATATTAATTGCAGCAACATCTGAACGAGCTTTAGCTTTTAACACTGGATCTTGGACTTTTTTTATTCAACTCTGCTGGGAGGTGCTAACTAGCTAGAAAAAACACAAAAACAACTACTAATATGTTGGCAGGAGGAACTAAACTTTCAGAAAACATCTGTATGCTGTATGTATTTATCCTCACATTAATCTTCCTCACGGTTATACCTGCGCTTGTTACATTTCTTATTTAAATAATATGAGTGGTTTCCTTTATCAAAATGTGAAAGTGGTGATATTAACCACCTGACACCCATTGTTGCAAATATGCAACAAACCTTTTGTCAACAAGAGAGTTGAGGTTGCTTGAGAACCCAAAAGCAGAGATGAGTTCTTGTAGATTTAATGCAAACTGTAGCCTCGTGAGACCATCCTGATCTCTCAAGCTTTCAAGATTTCACTCGCTAATCAGTCTGGAGACTCTCCGTTATCGGAATTACACAGTATTTCTTCACTGAAAGAAGAGCAAAACACTGCTCTGGAGGCTTTTCTCAGACGAAAATATGTTTTTGCTCTTCTCCCGACTGGTTTTGGCAAGAGTTTGATCTATCAATTGGCTCCTCTTCGTCGTCGCTCTGTTAGTACGTCATATGCTTCGTTGATCTGATTGGTTTATTTGGCCCGTCTATCACCAACATAGGCCAATCAGCTAACCAGTATTTTCGCCCCTTCCCAAAATTACTTCAACAGAAGGTTTCCAGATGAATATGCGGAGCAAATCCATCTGGCGGAGTCAAGTTATGCAAACTGAGGCAAACATCCAAAATACAAAAATACTATGTACCAAAAAAATCAGCAAACATCAGGGAAAACTCACGTGGAGAGCCAGAGATGACGAAGCAACTGACAATCAACATCGAGGAACCAGCACTGAAGAACTGTACAGGGAGAGTATATATGGGAGACAGAACAAAGACTGGGGTAATCAGATGATATGAGGCAGGTGTGGATGGGAGTGACTAGAAGGGAGACAGGGGAAAGGATACAGGCACAAGGGGGCAACAGAGAGTAACTAAAGACAGGCTTAAATATATCAGGAAGTGGAAAATAAACCAAAGATCAACAAAATAGAATTACTTAGTAAGTGAAAACAGAAAACCAAAAACTCATGGCACCCTTTATATTATCAAGCTAGCTTCAGTGCCTGTTATTGCATTCAGTGAACAGGAACCTTTAACAAGCGGTAGTTTCTGTTACAATTAAGATTAACTAATTTTGGCCAAAAATGTTTTTAAAAGCAACTACTTAACTATGAAATTTACTTTTGTGACTAAACATTTATTAGCTAAAGAAACTAAAGTGATGGCTAAAACTGAACGGTTCCTTTAATCAAACAGTGGCTGCTTTCAGCAGAAAATGAAGTCAACAGTCTAGTTTTTATGAAAATCGTTTCACTTTTTTCAAGAAGGAGTAAGGATGTTTTTTAAATAAGTCACCTTTGCTGTCGTATCCTGACCCATCAAATTCACAGCTAATACCTTGAGGTATTGCTGTCCACGCTTTTATTTCTCAATTAAGATGAAAGCATGAAAACAACAATATAAAAGTCTTTCCCTGCTGAATTCCTCAGCTGTACTGCTGAGTGCCTGCTGAGCTGAAGCAGGGAAACCCAGAGCAATTCAACCCCATCTTTATGCTTCCTAACAATGCCAGCAGAGAAACTAATTAGGTACATTTCACTCATTTCCATGTTAATGTTTTGTTTGTTGCTATTATTGAAAGAGACAAAAGCCAGAGATGCTAATGAAGACCTTATAATAACACTGACCTAAAGGGAGTCCATTGACAGCTGCAGCTACCCCCTCCCTCCCTCACTTGGGAGCATTTTTCTGATAAATGTGAGAGTTTAAAAGAGCAGCAGGTCACACTGATAACAACAAAGAAATACACACATAGATTTATAAATTTACTTGCAATTCTGATAACACTTGTCCAAGGAACTCAATTGGATGCAATGTTGAGTTTAATTTGTAAAATCACCTTAATGCTGCATTCAACTGGAGCTTCTAAAGAGATAACTTTCATTGTAACTGATCTGAATTTGAAAAGTGATTCTGCACATATGACAGACAGAATGGAAAGCTTTGAAAATTGTTCATACAACCTAAATACATTAAGAAATGCAAGGTTAAAATCCCAATAAAACAAACTTTAAAATGAAAAAACCCTAAACAAGCTTTGTTTCTATGGGACCTTTAATTCTGTGACACAGTCTAAGAAAGGAGGGAACTTTATATATCGAGTAAAAACACATTTGTGACTCTTTAAGCCTCAGTCATGCAGAACTTAAAGGAATAGTACACCCACAACATGCTTAGCATTCATTTTCTACTCACCCCCATGCTGAACAACACTCTGGAGTACTTTTTTGATATCTCAAATGCATCTGGAGATCTGGGAGGCTTCTTGCTGTCTGCTGACATTCAAATAATGGAGGTCTATGGCGCCCGAGGCAGAAAGGTCCATAAAAGTCCACAAAAAACGTGTCAATGTTCCTCCATACTGCTCGTCCAATGTATTCCAAGTGTCCTGAGTGGGTAGCATCCAGAATTTACTCGAAACGAAGTCATTTAGAATGTTTTTAGAGCATAAACAGTAGTGTATAGGATTTCCTGAAAGTGCGCACCTGCGCGTTCACGACGCTACGGAAGCCGGCAGACCAAACCAGATGAAAGTACGCATTCAGCGTCTGCTCTGCCAATAATGCAAGCGTAGAAGAAGAAATGTGCTGTTTACCTGTGCAAAGAAAGAAACAACGAAAGAAAAATGTCTAAGGACTTCAGTGTTGAGGAAGAGCATGAGTTCTTTGCTGAGCTGAATGCACACTTTCATCTGGTTTGGTCTGCCGCGGTTTCCGTAGCGTCGTGAACGCGCTTTCAGGAAATCCTATACACTACTGTTTATGCTCTAAAAACATTCTAAATGACTTTGTTTCGAGTAAATTCTGGATGCTACCCACTCAGGACACTTGGAATACATTGGACGAGCAGTATGGAGGAATATTGAAACGTTTTTTGTGGACTTTTATGGACCTTTCTGCCTCGGGCACCATGGACCTCCATTATTTGAATGTCAGCAGACAGCAAGAAGCCTCCCAGATCTCCAGATGCATTTGAGATATCAAAAAAGTACTCCAGAGTGTTGTTCAGCATGGGGGTGAGTAGAAAATGAAGGCTAATCATGTTTTGGGTGTACTATTCCTTTAAGCCGAAATACACTGTGAGATTTTTTCAATCGTTGCATGCAGCTACAGCTCACGAAACCGCGGGGTTTTGTCGTACAATGTGAGTTCCGAGCTCACTATGCATGTTTAGCACGATGCTCTTATGTGATCTACCTGCTCACATTCTACGTCTAAAAACCACGTCAGACTCAGCTCCGCAGTGAGATGGCGCTACTCGGACTCGTCTATCCAGAAGCCAAACGAGTAAAGGAGGAATATGAAGCTCACTAGAGTGAAACGCGCTGCCTTGGCAATTTGTGCAATTTTGTGCTGAAAGCCCTAAAAAGAAAAGGTGACGACGTATTTGGTCAAAGACATGGCTGAGCAAACATGGCTACTACAGTCTGTCAGTTTTACGGAAAGAACTCGATTTCACTCGCACCCGCGCCATGCTGGTGTGTTTTCATCTGAGAGGAAGAAGAAAAAGAATCCTTGTTTGCGCATTGAGCGGTTTGCCCACGTAGCCTCTTGAGACCATCCTGATCTCGCGAGCTTTCAAGGTTTCACTCGCAGATCAGTCTGGAGACTCTCCGTTGAAGAAAATTTGGAGCCGTTCACCAAACTAACGTCCAATCAGCGTTGGCTTTGAGGCGGGTTGAGGTGTGACGCAACGAGAAGCGCGAAAGTTCAGTCTAAAGAACATGGCAGCTTCAGCCAATGAAACTAGCGTTAGCGTGGCTATCGAGCAAGTTTTATCGGAATTACAGAATATTTCTTCACTGAAAGAAGAGCAAAACACTGCTCTGGAGGCTTTTCTCAGAGGAAAAGATGCTTTTGCTCTTCTACCGACTGGTTTCAGCAAGAGTAGCCTGGCTTGTGGTTGTGTTTTCGTCGCCGCTCTGTTAGTACGTCATATGCTTCGTTGATCTGATTGGTTTATTTGGCCCGTCTATCACCATCATAGGCCAATCAGCTAACCAGTATTTTCGCCCCTTCCCAAAATTCAAACTTTAATGGAAGGTTTCCAGATGGATATGCAGGCAAATCCATCTGGCGGAGTCAGGTTATTGCCCACGATGGTCGACTGAAAATCAAACATGTTTGATTTTCTCCTGAACTCATGATTCCTGAGGTGGTCGTGAGAGGCTGATCGCCCCTCGTTACCCGCTGTACTCTACATGAAGCACCATGCAAGCACCACAATTCGGGCCAATCAGAAAAGTCTCGCATGACTGGAAAGTCGGCCCGAATAGGGTAAAAAATCGCACAGTTCAAGGCCCGGCTTTAGAGGATCTCTGTGATCAACCTGACAGATGACACTAGTAAAACTGGACTGCTGCCATTAAAACCTTTGATTATAGATGATGGTGTTGGGCCTATTTTTCGGTGCCGTGTCCTGTTTCTCTCCTAGACATAGTTGTAAACTGTTTTCACTGTGACTAACTGTATCTGATCTCTTTCATCCCTTTTGACACAAAGACTGGATGAGAGACAGAACCAGCTGTGGAGCTATTTTAAAGTTACATTTTTCAAACAACCTGGGAGCTGACACTGCTGATAGAAGTGGCATTAAAAAAGGAGAATATTTAGAAACGATTCATCAACATCTCACAAAACCCTGGAACTTCATCAGGGGATCTGTGGACATTTTCATTTACTGCATTTCTAAAGAAAATTATCGACTGTGTTTTAACCATAAGTCCTATGCTAATGGTAAATGAGTCCACTTTCTTCATGTCCAGCTATTCCTATAGAAGTTTGCTTTAGTAGGTTTTTCTTGTGGAATATTTGTTCTTTTTACGGTTCTGTGGCTGTGAGGCGTCAGCTTTGTTAGCAAAGGCGAAGAATGACAGGCAAAGAAGGTGCTAATCCATAGATGGTGCGCCCTGGCACAGAGCCCTTTCGCCACACAGAGGCTTGCACAAAAAAAGACTGAGCAACATTGAGAGCATGCACACACACACACACACACACACACGGCTTATCGCTCTGCTCCAGACAGCCGCCACAGATCAGTCAACGAGCTGCACGATCAATGCATCTGATAAGGAATTAAGACGGAATATAAACTGTTACATGGGGAAAGCTGTACATGGTCTAATTATGATGCCGTGTGTGTGTGGGAGGATGATACGATAGGAGCTGAATGTTGAAAGGTTGCAGGGGGGCCAAAGGTTGGGGTTGTGGGGCTTGCTAAAAAATTTAGTTTGTACTGGTCTAAATCTCAGTAAGTTAAGTAAAAAAAATAAATGAACAAATCAAAGGCTCAAATTAAAACACAGCTACCCATAGAACACAAACCTACAATAAGCTGTAATCTTCAGTCATTGCACTTCAGCAAACTTAATGAGTGACAGTACTAAGAAAAACACATGAATGAAAAATATTCAATGATGTGCCATTAATCTTTCCAATGCAAACTTCTAATGATGATATTTTTTTAACCTTCACTTTGACTGATCAAATTTCATCATGTTTGAACATTGCAGCTTCAGGACCTAATTTAGCTCTCTAATGAACTGGTTAGAGATATTTCATAGCAGTCTAGGAAAACAACGCTGGAGTTGCTCACTCAGAGTTTGTGGTTATTGATTTATCGGAGATAATTCTGCACTTTCCAGGGAATATACTGACAGGAGAGTCAGGACAAACTTTGAAAAGATAGGGTTCATCCAAATAGTGCAAATAGGTATAGACATTTTGGACAATATGGAAGTGCGTCAGTGGTTCTCATGATAAGTGCTGGCCTTTAAAAATACATGCAGATGTAATTCTTCAGAAAATATTTGTGTGAAAAACATTTAATTAGAGTAACTAAATGTAAACGTATGTAATATTTTTTCTTTAAATAAGGGGCCATTAGAACTCCCCCCACCCATCATAAAGTGGTTAGACCAGGACAATGGCGGGCTGCGACTTTTATAAATCATTTCGCTGCAAACTAAGAATGTCAGCTTTTCAGAAATCCGGTGCACAGATAAGAAAAGAGAAAAAGGGAAGATGACGCCAAAGGCTTGAGGGATTTTAGGAGTAAGTATTAAAAATAGACTGAGATTTTTTCCCCCCTGTTATTTCATTATGTAATTCTTATAAAGCACTTTGAATTGGTCATGCTGAATTGTGCTACACAAATGAAATTGCCTTGCCTTGTCCTGCCATGTCTGCTTCTATCTCCTTGAACCCTTTAACCCCAGTCGGCCTTGGCAGATGGCCGCTCACACTGAGCCTGCTTCTGCTGGAGGTTTCTAACTGTTTAAATTGAGTTTTCCTCTCCACAGTAGCGACAAGCATGCTTGGCGTGAGGGATTGCCTTCGAGTCAATGAGTCGATGCATACTTGGAACTTTGTGTCATGATTTTATCCAAAGATCTGACCCACATGCAGAAAACCAAACAGAGAGACCAGGGGAAGGTTTAACAGGTTTATTATGAACTGGTAGAGGAGAGTCCAGTGCTGCTCTGAACACTGGCGAACCGGGACTGAAAAGTGAAGGGGAAGATCCTGTGGTTAGTTCAGGTTCAGAGGGAAATTTGTGTTTCGACTTGTAAAAGGGAATAAAGGCAACAGGACTCACGTTTAAAGAAAAGGTGTCTTTCTTGAATCCAGTCGGTGTGGGTTGTTCCAGTAATAGACTTGCTCGTTGGAGGACGGACAGGGTTTACCCAGGTTGAGGTGTTTCCTTGAGGAATGGAGGAGCTGACTGCCACTTAGATTTCCTTCGGTACATGAACGGTTTCTTATGGAGATGAATCCCCTGCTCAGTGTAAAGCTCAAACAATCCTTGGGGAAAAGTTGATCCAAACCACCTGTTTGAATCCTCAGCTCAGTTTGATGCTCAGACAATCCTTCCAGGGGGAGAAGGTCCAAAAAAATGCAGTTTGCAGGATGACTTTCTGTGGAGAGGCAAAGACAAAAAGCAACAAGGTTAGGACTCAGGTGACAAAAAACTCAGTTTGACACAGCAAAACTCAGCTTGGCTAGAGTACCCAACACTGGCAAACACTCTGGCCTCGAGGTAGTGGCAGTAAGCAGCTTAAGAGTCCTCTGGTAATGAGGAAACCATCCGCAGGTGTGTGAGAAGGCCAACAAGAACCAGGGGCCACCTGGTGGTGGAGGGAAAACAAACAAAAACACAACCCACACAAACTGGATTCCTAACACTTTGAACCAGTTTGACTGTACAATCTGGTTGAATTGCCTCTGTAAAGTGGCTTGTGATGTGTTGTGAATTTGCACGATAGAAATAAACTGAATTGTATTGAATTGGGGACTTTTAGGACGGCTTCCAAAAAAACACAAAAAACGAGCAGGAGCTCTTTGGAGAACATGCTCAGCAAGGGCCAGTGGATTTAAATGGCTTGCAAGAGAAAACTTGCATTTTTTCCATTCCTTGATATATCATTTATTACAAAAGTTCTTCCTTTAAAATGTATTAACTTATTTAATGTATGATTCCAAGTCATCGATCGGCTTTGAATCTCCATAGTGGTTCACGTCTGCCCCTATTACATTCAGCTGATACAGTATAACATGGTGAATCCTGATTTTTTTTTTTTTAGCCTACTGTACTTAGTTTAGCATCTGCTGATGATTTTATTTGTTTTAATTAATTTGTATTGTTCCTAAATTTCACTTGTTACATATTGATCAATTGATGAAAATGCCTAAATCACAATAAATCATAATTGGATACTGATCATCAAGTTTTTTTCTTGTGGTGTATATTTGTGTGTGTGTGTACAGTAATGTTAGAATTACTAAAATAAAACATAATTTTACCAAGAATAGCACCCTAACCCCTGTGTTAAAATGTTCAGTCTGAGGCTGTAGTTAAGATCATCACATCATGTCAGATCTTGATAACTCAAACAAAGCTTCCTTCTCACTAAAATTCCTTCTTTATATAATATTATGACTTTACCTTAATGTTTTTATCATAATATTAGGACTTTATTTTTGTAATATTATGACCAGTTTATAATTAAAATGTAAAACACTAAAGGACAGGGACGTTTTGTCATGATGGGTTCTGGGAGTAAAGCCCAAAATGCAGAACACACACGGGGAAACTGGGTAAAAGTCCAAAAGAGTTTATTAAAGTACAGACAAGGATATGACACGGGAATTGGTTCAGGCTGGGGAGCGGGTTCACAGGAGATAGTACAGAACCTGGAGACTGTTGGTAGGTAGAGTACATGAGAGGCTAAGCTCCTAGCTTCAGGCTAGCGTGGCAGTCCTTGATTTGAGCCTCCAGCTCACAGCAGAGAACAAGGGAATACACGAGGGACTCTAGGAAACAGATTCTACGTAGGAACCTCCAGGGAAACTCTACATAGTAGTCTTCGGGTTTCAACCACGTAGGAATCTTGGGTTGGGCTCACCAGGGCAGATTAGCTGGTTAGTTCTCCTTTGAGCTTCAGGCTTGAAACTGGTTTCCTGTGATGCAACTCTCCCAGAGTTGCAGGCCAGAGACAGGTTGCCCGAGAGACAGCTCTTCCAGAGCTTCACGTAGAGACAGGTGGTGGAGCTCATCCAGAGCTTCAGGAGGAGACAGGAGGTTAAGCTCATCCAGAGCTTTCACGAAGAGACAGGAGATTAGCTCATCCAGAGCTTTCACGAAGAGACAGGAGGTTAAGCTCATCCAGAGCTTTCACGAAGAGACAGGATTCCTGTGAGACAGAGACAAGGAAGAATTAGAATCTGATCTCACACTAGAGATAACAAAGATTCTTCAGTAGCTGAGGCTCAGGAAGCTAACCAACTAAGATCAACACTGCGGCGTGGAATCAAGGTCTGAAGTCAGCTTATATACTGTGGTCCTTCTGATTAGTAGATCAGCCACAGGTGTGTGGGAGACTCAGCTCAGGAGGACCCACGGCGCACTCTGTTGGAGGCAGAGGGTAATCTCCAGAACCTTGACAGTGACTCCAGCCCTAAACAAAAGACAAAGAGAGCAGAAGAGGATCCTCGGCGCCCTCTGGTGGGCAAGCCTGAGGATCCTAACAGAGCCCCCCCCTCAAGGGCGGATTCCAGACACCCCCTGAAAAAAAAAGTCCAAAAAACAAACAAAAAACAACCCACCCAGGGCGGGCGGAGGGGGCACTAGGGCGAGGAGGGCCAGAACCAACAGAAAAAAAGGTCCAACAAACAAAAAACAACCCACCCAGGGTGGGCGAAGGGGGAAACAGGCCAGGAGGGCAGAAAACAAAAACAGAGTCCAGAACAAAAAACGATCCACTTATGGTGGACGAAAACAAAAGAAAATCCAACAGCTTTCTTGGGCAAAGTCTCTGGTGGCCGGCCGAGGGACCGGCAGCGGGACAGATTCTCAGGTGGCCGGCCGAGGGGCCGGCTGCAGGACACAGTCTCAGGTGGCCTGCCGTAGGGCCGGCTGCAGGACACAGTCTCAGGTGGCCTGCCGTGGGACCGGCTGCAGGACACAGTCTCAGGTGGCCTGCCGTGGGGCCGGCTGCAGGACACAGTCTCAGGTGGCCTGCCGTAGGGCCGGCTGCAGGACACAGTCTCAGGTGGCCTGCCGTGGGACCGGCTGCAGGACACAGTCTCAGGTGGCCTGCCGTGGGGCCGGCAGCGGAGGCGTAGAAGCTGCTCAGGAGGCCGACCACGGGGCTGGGAACGAAGCAGCGTCTTATAAGGACCACTGCTGGGCCGGAGGCATGGCAGAGGTTCAGGGGGCCGGCCGAGGATCCGGTAATGGAGCAAAGTCTTTGGTGGCCGGTAGCAGGGTCGGAGGCGAGACAGATGTTCAGGAGGTCGACCATGGGGCTGGAGACGAAGCAGCGTCTTGGGAGGACCACTGCTGGGCCGGAGGCACGGTTGAGGTTCAGGAGACCGGCCTGGGATCCGGCTACGGAGCAGAGTCTTAGGTGGCCGGCTGCGGGGTCGAAGGCGACGCTGACACTCTGGGGGTCTGCCACGGGGTCGGCGATGAAGATGACGTTTCGGGGGTCTGCCGCGGGGCCGGAGGAGAAGATGACGCTCCGGGGTTCTGCCGCGGGGCCGGAGGTGAAGATGATGCTCTGAAGGTCTGCAGCAGGGCCGTAGGCGAAGCAGCTTATCAGGAGGATGACGCCCAAGCTTCAGCAGGTACCCCCACGGGGTACCCCGTCCCCTCCTCGGCAGCTCAGGAACAGTCTCAGAAGCGGCCGCCAACTGCGGCTCAGGAGGAGGCTCAGAGGAGACCGCCCACTGTGGCTCTGGAGGAGGCTCAGAGGTGACCGCCGACTGCGGCTCAGGAGGTGGCTCAGAGGAGACCGCCGACTGCGGCTCCGGGTCTGGAACTGGGGAGCCCGCCGACTGCGGCTCGGGGTCTGGAGCTGGGGAGCCCGCCGATTGCGGCTCCGGGTCTGGAGCTGGGGAGCCCGCCGATTGCGGCTCAGGAGCAGGGGAGCCCGCCGATTGCGGCTCAGGAGCAGGGGAGCCCGCCGATTGCGGCTCAGGAGCAGGGGAGCCCGCCGATTGCGGCTCCCGATCAGGAACTGGGGAGACCATCGACAGTGGCTCCAACACTGGAACATGCGGGACCACCGACTGTGGTTCCGTCTCAGGAGCAGACGACACCACCGACTGTGGTTCAGCCTCAGGAAACGAAGGGACCACCCATGGAGGCTCAAGTTCAGTCTCTAAGGTGGCTTGGGGCGTCGATGGAAGGTTCTTGGCGATTAGTGGCCATCGCTGAGGGACTCTTGGAGGCACATTTTCACCAACACTAAATTCTGAAGCCCTCTTAAATGTATGCTCAGGGGTCTCTGGACGGCACAGAGTCGGCTCAGGGGTCTCTGGACGGCACAGGGCTAACTCAGGGGTTTCTGGACGGAACAGGGCTAACTCAGGGGTCTCTAGACGGCTCAGAGCGTGCTTACGGCGACGCCGTCTCTTACATCGGGGGGTCTTAGAAGCTAAACTGACGGGTTCACTGATTGGATCTGGCGACAAATAAACCGGTTGAAACGTAAGGGTACCAGAATGACTAGCATGATCTGAGACTAAGGGATCAGGCACGGGGTCAGGTTTAAAACTATCCGGGTTAATTACTAGGTCAGGATCAGAATCTGGCTGGCGTGGAACTCTAACTGATGGACGTGAAACTGGTGGACTAATTTTGAGGCTTTTAACGGATGGACTTAAATGGTGGTCATGAACATGGGAACTAAGGCTAACCCGGCGCGGAGAGGAGCTGAAACTGGTTTGAGATGCTAGATCTAATCCTATGGCTAGTTCAATGAGGTCATCGAGGCTAGGTGGCTCGACGTAAAACGAAAGCTCAGTCCTGACAGATTCATTAAGACCTAAGAGGAAGGCGGACTTGAGTGCAGACTCGTTCCAACCAGAAACGGCTGCTCTACCCAGGAACTCGGAAGAGAATTCAGCTACGGACCTAATACCCTGTTTTGAATTCAGAAGGTTACTGGAAACGGTGAAACTAGAGGACTGGCTAAAGGTTCTTTCTAACTCTCGGATGAATTTTTCATATGTGCAGTTCTTTCTGGTTTTAAGTGGAAATTTTGTCTCTGCCCATTCTAGGGCCTCATCAGACAGAAAAGAAACTACAAAAGCAATCTTATCCTTATCATTAAGAAAGCTAGTGGTATGAAAACTGAAAAATAGCCGACACTGAAATAGAAATCCCCTTAGCTTACGTGGGTTGCCAGAAAATCTCTCAGGCAGTGATGGACCAGGTGACGAAAACGACGGACTGAACTCAGAACAGAAAGGAGGGTTATCATCTTGACTCGGAGGTGACGTCACTGCCGGTGAACCAGGAAGCGGAAGTGAATTCGGGACAGGACGAGCCGCTGACGTGGCGTTAGCATTGTAGAAATGATTAGAGAAAGTTTGATTAAGCAGTAACTCACGGAGGATTTGTGTGTGTTCATGTATCTGAGCGTCCCGCTTCTCAGTCCAACGGCGGAGGTGTTCTGCTGGGCTTTGTGTTTGGCCGCAGTGTTCTGTCATGATGGGTTCTGGGAGTAAAGCCCAAAATGCAGAACACACACGGGGAAACTGGGTAAAAGTCCAAAAGAGTTTATTAAAGTACAGACAAGGATATGACACGGGAATTGGTTCAGGCTGGGGAGCGGGTTCACAGGAGATAGTACAGAACCTGGAGACTGTTGGTAGGTAGAGTACATGAGAGGCTAAGCTCCTAGCTTCAGGCTAGCGTGGCAGTCCTTGATTTGAGCCTCCAGCTCACAGCAGAGAACAAGGGAATACACGAGGGACTCTAGGAAACAGATTCTACGTAGGAACCTCCAGGGAAACTCTACATAGTAGTCTTCGGGTTTCAACCACGTAGGAATCTTGGGTTGGGCTCACCAGGGCAGATTAGCTGGTTAGTTCTCCTTTGAGCTTCAGGCTTGAAACTGGTTTCCTGTGATGCAACTCTCCCAGAGTTGCAGGCCAGAGACAGGTTGCCCGAGAGACAGCTCTTCCAGAGCTTCACGTAGAGACAGGTGGTGGAGCTCATCCAGAGCTTCAGGAGGAGACAGGAGGTTAAGCTCATCCAGAGCTTTCACGAAGAGACAGGAGATTAGCTCATCCAGAGCTTTCACGAAGAGACAGGAGGTTAAGCTCATCTAGAGCTTTCACGAAGAGACAGGATTCCTGTGAGACAGAGACAAGGAAGAATTAGAATCTGATCTCACACTAGAGATAACAAAGATTCTTCAGTAGCTGAGGCTCAGGAAGCTAACCAACTAAGATCAACACTGCGGAATCAAGGTCTGAAGTCAGCTTATATACTGTGGTCCTCCTGATTAGTAGATCAGCCACAGGTGTGTGGGAGACTCAGCTCAGGAGGGCCCACGGCGCACTCTGTTGGAGGCAGAGGGTAATCTCCAGAACCTTGACAGTGACTCCAGCCCTAAAGAAAAGACAAAGAGAGCAGAAGAGGATCCTCGACGCCCTCTGGTGGGCAAGCCTGAGGATCCCAACAGAGCCCCCCCCTCAAGGGCGGATTCCAGACGCCCCCTGAAAAACAAAGTCCAAAAAACAAACAAAAAACAACCCACCCAGGGCGGGCGGAGGGGGCACGAGGGCGAGGAGGGCCAGAACCAACAGAAAAAAAGGTCCAACAAACAAAAAACAACCCACCCAGGGTGGGCGAAGGGGGAAACAGGCCAGGAGGGCAGAAAACAAAAACAGAGTCTAGAACAAAAAACGATCCACTTATGGTGGACGAAAACAAAAGAAAACCCAACAGCTTTCTTGGGCAAAGTCTCTGGTGGCCGGCCGAGGGACCGGCAGCGGGACAGATTCTCAGGTGGCCGGCCGAGGGACCGGCAGCGGGACAGATTCTCAGGTGGCCGGCCGAGGGGCCGGCTGCAGGACACAGTCTCAGGTGGCCTGCCGTGGGGCCGGCTGCAGGACACAGTCTCAGGTGGCCTGCCGTAGGGCCGGCTGCAGGACACAGTCTCAGGTGGCCTGCCGTGGGACCGGCTGCAGGACACAGTCTCAGGTGGCCTGCCGTGGGGCCGGCAGCGGAGGCGTAGAAGCTGCTCAGGAGGCCGACCACGGGGCTGGGAACGAAGCAGCGTCTTATAAGGACCACTGCTGGGCCGGAGGCATGGCAGAGGTTCAGGGGGCCGGCCGAGGATCCGGTAATGGAGCAAAGTCTTTGGTGGCCGGTAGCAGGGTCGGAGGCGAGACAGATGTTCAGGAGGTCGACCATGGGGCTGGAGACGAAGCAGCGTCTTGGGAGGACCACTGCTGGGCCGGAGGCACGGTTGAGGTTCAGGAGACCGGCCTGGGATCCGGCTACGGAGCAGAGTCTTAGGTGGCCGGCTGCGGGGTCGAAGGCGACGCTGACACTCTGGGGGTCTGCCACGGGGTCGGCGATGAAGATGACGTTTCGGGGGTCTGCCGCGGGCCGGAGGTGAAGATGATGCTCTGGAGGTCTGCAGCGGGGCCGTAGGCGAAGCAGCTTATCAGGAGGATGACGCCCAAGCTTCAGCAGGTACCCCCACGGGGTACCCCGTCCCCTCCTCGGCAGCTCAGGAACAGTCTCAGAAGCGGCCGCCGACTGCGGCTCAGGAGGAGGCTCAGAGGAGACCGCCGACTGTGGCTCTGGAGGAGGCTCAGAGGTGACCGCCGACTGCGGCTCAGGAGGTGGCTCAGAGGAGACCGCCGACTGCGGCTCCGGGTCTGGAACTGGGGAGCCCGCCGACTGCGGCTCCGGGTCTGGAGCTGGGGAGCCCGCCGATTGCGGCTCCGGGTCTGGAGCTGGGGAGCCCGCCGATTGCGGCTCAGGAGCAGGGGAGCCCGCCGATTGCGGCTCAGGAGCAGTGGAGCCCGCCGATTGCGGCTCAGGAGCAGGGGAGCCCGCCGATTGCGGCTCCCGATCAGGAACAGGGGAGACCACCGACAGTGGCTCCAACACTGGAACATGCGGGACCACCGACTGTGGTTCCGTCTCAGGAGCAGACGACACCACCGACTGTGGTTCAGCCTCAGGAAACGAAGGGACCACGCATGGAGGCTCAAGTTCAGTCTCTATGTCTACCCTCTGTTGGTAGGTAGAGTACATGAGAGGCTAAGCTCCTAGCTTCAGGCTAGCGTGGCAGTCCTTGATTTGAGCCTCCAGCTCACAGCAGAGAACAAGGGAATACACGAGGGACTCTAGGAAACAGATTCTACGTAGGAACCTCCAGGGAAACTCTACATAGTAGTCTTCGGGTTTCAACCACGTAGGAATCTTGGGTTGGGCTCACCAGGGCAGATTAGCTGGTTAGTTCTCCTTTGAGCTTCAGGCTTGAAACTGGTTTCCTGTGATGCAACTCTCCCAGAGTTGCAGGCCAGAGACAGGTTGCCCGAGAGACAGCTCTTCCAGAGCTTCACGTAGAGACAGGTGGTGGAGCTCATCCAGAGCTTCACGAGGAGACAGGAGGTTAAGCTCATCCAGAGCTTTCACGAAGAGACAGGAGATTAGCTCATCCAGAGCTTTCACGAAGAGACAGGATTCCTGTGAGACAGAGACAAGGAAGAATTAGAATCTGATCTCACACTAGAGATAACAAAGATTCTTCAGTAGCTGAGGCTCAGGAAGCTAACCAACTAAGATCAACACTGCGGCGTGGAATCAAGGTCTGAAGTCAGCTTATATACTGTGGTCCTCCTGATTAGTAGATCAGCCACAGGTGTGTGGGAGACTCAGCTCAGGAGGGCCCACGGCGCACTCTGTTGGAGGCAGAGGGTAATCTCCAGAACCTTGACAGTGACTCCAGCCCTAAAGAAAAGACAAAGAGAGCAGAAGAGGATCCTCGGCGCCCTCTGGTGGGCAAGCCTGAGGATCCCAACACGTTTTTGTATCAGTAGGCAACTTTACATTAGAGATGACAAAAATCACATGTGGGGTTCCCCAAGGGTCCATCCTTGGTCCCCTCCTATTCAATATCTACATGCTCCCTCTTGCTCAGTTAATAAAAAACAACAACAACAGCTACCATAACTATGCAGACGACACACAGCTTTACATCACCATGTCACCAGGTGATTATGAACCAATTCAAGCACTGAGGAAATGCTTAGAAGAAATCAATGACTGGATGTGCCATAATTTTCTTCAACTGAATAAAAACAAAACTGAAGTACTAATCTTTGGACCAATAGAGGAGAGATCTAAAGTTAGCACACAGCTTCAGTCGCTTCAGCTAGTAACCACTGATCAGGCTCGAAATCTAGGTGTATACTGGATTCAGACTTGAACCTCCAAAAGCGTTTAAAGACAATTACAAGCTGGGCTTTCAATCATCTGAAGAACATTTCCAGGATTAAAGGACTAATGTCTCAGCATGATCTGGAAAAACTAATCCATGCGTTTATTTTTAGTCGAATTGATTACTGCAACGGTGTTTTCACAGGTCTGCCTAAAAAGTGGATCATACAGCTGCAGCTGATCCAGAACGCTGCTGCCCATGTCCTCACTAAGACTAAGAAAGTAGAGCACATCACCCCAGTTCTAAAGTCCTTACACTGGTTTACTGTATCTCAGAGAATAGACTTTAAAATACTTCTAATAGTCTATAAATCTCTGAATGGCTTAGCACCTAAATACATCACAGACTTGCTATCAGTGTATCAACCCTCCAGACCACTCAGGTCTTCTGGCTCCAGCCTGCTCTGCAGACCTAGAACCAGAACTAAACATGGAGAAGCTCCTATGCTCCACTTATCTGGAACAAACTTCCAGAAAACTGTAAAAGTGCGGAAAGCCTGAGTTCCTTTAAATCAAGACATTTGTTTAGGATTGTCTTCGACTGTTCTAGTTAAACAGTTCAACTAAAACATCATTAGTTCAATCTGAAAAACTCACACAGAGAGAAAAGATAATTAGAAGAATTTCATTTACTAATGCTTAACATGCATGA